AGCCAACCGCACAGCGAAGGTCACTGTGAGAAAGGATGGCAAACGTGGCTTCCAAGGAAACAAGAAGCAGCTCAAAGAGAGCCAGCTCCTTGCTCAAGTGATGGGCTGGAGGAGCTGGGTGGGCCTGTGGTGACCTAGCTTGTTAAGTTTGGGTGGCACCCCCAATGCAACACAACTGACTATATATATATATATAATACGTGGATTCTTATAATGGGCAACGGGGTTGTGGATCTTGTTATTTAAATCCAGCGCAATTGATCTAGTTTATATTTCCCACATTTAAGTATATATATATATATAAACTGACACTTATAGTGCAGCGCTTGCATATATGTCATACAAAAAATCTACAAATGGCTCAAGCTCGGTGAAAATACCTTTCACAATATATAAGGGGCTGTGCTGTCCCGCAATCCCAATGGCCATGTCAATTAAGTGCATGCAATGGGGAACCAAATCAATTTGGCAAGCGACCTGCTGCCAAAATGAACAATGAATCCTGGTGCCCAAATCTATGTGCAGCAGCTCTGCCTATATATAGGAGAGGCGCTAATCCTGAAGCAAGCAAAACAGAACTGCACAGACCTAAGGAAGGGTGAGGGCCAATCTTCAACTGCCTTCAACCCCGCCGTACACACACGCTGCCACCGATCTTGGGGAGGTGTGTGCAGGCCTTCCCTGGCCAACCAACCCCCTTGCCCTGCCTCCACGAAGCCATGGTATAAGGCCTTGCATAGGCCTTGGGAGAGCAGCAAGAACGCAGGATTAAAAATGGGCACCCTTGCCTTCCATTCTGCCCGGAGAACATCACAGTGCAGTTTCAAGCACACATATATGCAAGCGCGTATAAGAATGTAAATATATATATATAGTCATATATATACAGAGAGAGAACTGCAGAATCTAAACTTACAATCCCAGTGTGGAACCCTCAGTTTCTCTTTGGGACTGATGATAGCTTTGTTTTCTACCGGATGGTGTTTCTGCTGGTTATATACAATGCTCCTCCGGGTTGGTGGTCTGCCTTTTTTTTGGACCTCCTCCATTTGCATGCAAAATCTAATTGGACCATGCATGATTTGTACCTGTGGTCAACTAAAATGGCCACCATATAAAGAAGTGGATCCATGGTGGGAAAACAATATAAACTATATTTATAAGTTAATTTAAATATATATATATATATGATGTGGTCATGAATCCTATACGTTTTGGTGGGTTAAGCTGGCTCGAGCGGGTGTTTGAGGCACTACCCATACAGATTTGGTCTACGAATCCTACGGATCTTGCCGCAACTGCTGAAGACTGGATGCAAGTCTTTCCCAGACCCGCCTGAAGGCTTTGATCCCCTAAAGTGTTACACAGAGCAAGAGTGGGGCAGCCTGTGGGAAGATGCCCAAATTCAAGAGGTGGCCTGTTATTTACGAGGCAACCGCCATCTGACCATTCCTATGGAATGGAAGCCAGTCCTGCTTCCCCCCAGATTGGTGAATTGGATTGGAGACTGTTGCTTTCCATCAATTCCTATAATGTGCATGTCCTGTATAAAACTTGGTGGGAAGCAACTGGACTAATTCATGCGAGGCTCAGCTAATTTTAACACAGAATCAGGCCAGGATGTTGAAAACCAGGTTTTGGGGCGTAGACAACCCGTAGAAAACCGGGCACCCGTAGACAACCCATAAAAATGCGTAGATAGCCCGTAAAAATCCGTAGAAAATTACGTAGTTTTCCCGTAGGGGCGAGGGTCGGTCAATATTGAGCTTTTAAAAGAAATATGTTGACTCTGGACGGCTTCTGGTCTGAACCATGTGTTTTTCCTATAGCCATGATGGATGCAACCCGAGGGAAAGACGTCTTGAGAACAATTCTTGTGAGATTGCATTTTGTGTGTGCATTTCTGCAAGTGTGAAGCTCCTTCTTCAACAAGGGTTGTCTCAACAAACCATCAAACATACAAATACACTCCTGCCGTACCTGTCTTGGCTCTGACATATATATAGGAGGTATACCGGACCATCGATCGACTGACCCATTTGTCCATCAGGCATGGCTCCCCAGCAGATGAAATCGAAGCAGTGGAGCTGCGATTCCTTGGTAGCAGGGAACAATGGCCTTCTGGATGTGAAGGTTGAACCATCGATGTCTCGGGAAGAGATATTAGCACAAAAGAAGGTGGGGGACTTCATGTTCATGGATTCTCCTTTGGAATTGTTTACGCACCATCATCGTATTAAACTATGATCAATTTTGGGTGTATATATATATGACATAATTAATTTTGTCTCTAGTTCAGGCTTTGGAGGAGTCGTTGGCCAAACTGGAGGCTATGGAAGTGTCTTGACTTGGCTTTGGGGGATGTATATATATATGATGTATGCGGGTGAGGGTGTATCCATCTGGTTTGCTCGCACTTCAGGCGAATACGATGAATCCAGAAGTCTTTGAAGCTGAAACGCAACCGGCTGCTTTGCTTAAGCAGTTTGTTGCAATCGTGTTCAAAACCTATAACAAGACCCTTGTTCCTCATGCCTGTTTCCACTCGATGTCTCCAATGTATATCTATAAACAAAAATTGTATTTATTGTTTGGATTGAGACTCCTGAGGCCACTGATGCAGAGATCCGCGACAGTCTAGGGGCCAAGCGTGCAGTTCCACCATCCTCGAAGAGCACACCTACAAAGCCTGCGCCGAAAAGGACATGCCATGAGGTGGGAAGAAGTGTGAGCATGCAGGGATTTAAAGTCATGTCTATATATACATAAACATATGACACAATATAGGCATGAGGTTAGTCGTCTTGAAGGGATGGAATGCTGGAAGTCCCTGGTGTACACCATGCATGTGTTTGAGGCTTGGTGAAAGACGTTGCTATACCTGCAAGTTTTGACACGCTATCCCCAATGCGCAAACACTTAATTGGACGCGCGAGCTGGTTGGCAAACCATGTGATGCAGTCATATATAAATATAATCATGTGTTCATCATCGTCTCCGTCAGGGGGAAGAGCACAGCGATTTGGCCAAGCCAGCTGCAGCGGTGAAGTCCAAAGCGAAACCCCCAGCTGGCCCAGTGCAGGACATAAGGGTGGATGGAAGTTGTCCAAGGGAGATATCTCCTATATATATATATCACTTATTGCAATTACATACAACGACATGAGTTGAAACAACACCCATATATATATATATGCCTTTGAGTTTGCAGAGCTTAAAGTGCACGAGTCAACTCACTCATATAGGTGCGTTGTGGTGTCTCGTCAAGCATGTGCATGTGTGCAATGTACGCATTCCAAATTATGTCTTGCAGGACCCTGCGGTGCGGTCACTTCAGGAGCAGCTTGATGCTGCGCTGGGTGAGATCGCTAAAATGAAGGCAGCGTCCGTGTCAACGGCAACACCCTCGCCAGCTAGTCGTCTCAGTGGTGTGCCATCATCAGCTGCAACTACCCCAACCACAGCATCCAAGAAGAGTCCTGATACAGTTTCCGGGCTCGTTGAGATTGCATGATATAATTGTTTTTCTATAAAAAGCCTGACCAAAGAGGTATACGGCGTGTGTGCAGGGTTTTACTCAGCTGCGTTGATTGATCATCAGCGAATTATTCAGTGACAATTAAATGCCTATACATGTGTAGATGTATATGTTTTAGCTGGGCCTGTCATCTGCGCTCAGGATGCACCCCATGATGGTGACAAAGATCCATCCAGCGAAGATGAATCGGCGAAAGCGTTGAAACGGTACAAGCTTGTGGATGCCAGGCTTCGAAGGTTGTGCGAAAAGAAACCTTCAGGTAAACTCAACGTACCAGAGTCTATTCACCGTGCCTGGTTGGCTGGCGGTACACAGCGGGATGAACTCCGTGTCCTGCTTGAGAAACTGGAGCTTGATAAGGATTGGGAACAAATGTTTATGGCAACACCATGTTGGTGCAGACTAAAGGTAAAACATGTAAAACAAATAGACAAGAAAATAACAACTGCATGGAAACTTCCTCGGTACCATTTGGCTTGCATGGTTCCTATATATATATAAACATATGCCACCCATACTGCTACCCATATCTGCAATGGCAGGAACAATTTGTGCACCAAATGGTCAAAATCATCGAGAAGAAGCATACCGAATCCCAGGAAGTGCTCAAAGGATGGTTTACACCTGATCAAATGAAAACAAAGTTGCTCTGGACAACGTTTCTTGGTTGTAAGCAAATGGATGAAAACCCTTTATATATATTTATACAGTTTATATATATACATATGTTAAGGCTTTTCATGTGGAAAAGTCATTCATGCGCACTAAAGGACAAGCCCCGACTGCACTGCAGGCAGTACATCAAGGATGCAATTGCCTACTGCAACAAGCATGGACTGGTGAAGACCCTCTGGTTGCATTGGCTGGTGTGTGTCTGTAATAGTGAAATCTGCACTGAAGACACGATATATATACATGACTGATTTAGAAATGATTGCGACTGAGGCAGGACAAATATTCTTCAAAGGTCCGCAAGTACTTTGTTGAGTATGGAGATACGGAGTCGACCACGAGAAGCACCTCGCAGATTGAGAAGAAAACCTCTACTCAGAATGAGGCCTGTACATATATTTTTGACACATGCTATATAAATGCAAGGGGTTCCAAGCACCTTGATGCCTTTCATAGAGAAAACACTCTTCGATAAGGGTGTCAAAATGTATCCGCTTTTCTTTACTGAAGCAGGCTGAAGAGGTTGAGCTAACGGCGGATTTCTTGCCAGCGCCGACGGTCGAGAAGGATGAGAAGAAGGATGATGCCCAAGCTCCAGAAGATGGGGACCCGTTTTGATCGAGTGTGTGCTGTTGTCGGTGTTTGCAGATTTATATATATATATAGCTAGCTATAGCTATATATATATATATTTATTTACATATACAGCTCGATCTGCAGAATATCTATAAACCGCACTTGGGTCTCAGCTGTCCAGGAACTGGAGGTTGAAGAAAAGTTTGAAGCAGGGATGTTGGGCAAGATGTCGAAAATAACGGATTTGATGGCTCGATTGGATGCCTTCAACAGCGGGGAAGATGCAGCCAGGGTGAAAAAGTCCAACACTCATTTGCAACAATGAACCCCTGCAAACAAACCTAGTTCGGACCTATGCATACATGTTGACCCCCATCTACGCTTCCCACCGCTTCCGCCACAGGTCCTTGGCGGCCTTGGAGACAAAGATTCAGGCAGCGCAGGAATCGTATGATGCCTTTGTCGAAGCTCGATCGGAACTTGGGGATACCAAAAGAACTGAAGAGAAACCCGGCTGCAAATTTGGCATGCCCCCTTTGATCCACAAGAGAAGCCCATGTCTCTTTATAAAAGAAAGGGCTCTTGCGATGCAAGAGTTAACACGCGTGGACAATATATATATATATATATTGCCTTCATGACCTGTGATGTTGAAAACAAGCGCCAAAAACAGTAGCTCATGTATCTCTATATATATATATATCCATTGTTGGGAGAACACCACTGATATTACAACCTCTGCAGCTTGATAACGACTCAGGAACTCGAAGCACATTAAAACAAAGATGCGCGATGCTATGGGAAAGACGCTAGATTAGCACTTAAGAAACATTTGCTTGGCCAAAAGGACGTCGCTCTCATTTATCTTGATCCATTGGTTCCTTGGTTTCCGGGAATCCCCCATCCGCCAATTTCACCACAGGGCAGCGGCATTGGCATCTGTCGAAGCCCAGGCAAAGTGCCTGGCCCGCACCAGGAAACGACTGGAATTTGCTGGGCGCGAGGGAATTTGTGATGCAAGTTGTGGTGAGCTCAAACTTTGGTATCTTCTCATGGGTGTTTCATCCAAGGGCACTGGAGAAATCCATCAAGAAGAAGAAGAAGGAAGAAGCGGCAGCCGAGAAGCAGTGATGGTCTGATACTTCAGTGGGCTTCCTCAAGTGCAGGAAGTACAAATGGTTATCTATACCATGCGATGCATGGTAATTGGGGATTTTGTGGATGTGTTCGGTGCAGTAAACCTGCCAATCAACACACCCATTATTTGCAATCAATTTGCGGTAGATTTGGCAAGGTCAGGGCAATTGTTTGGGCTCATATAGCAGTTGCTACACATGTAGCAAATCTTGAATGCTTTCTGAGACGCTTGTGGATGAGAAAGGTGAAACAAGGTCTTGGATGAGTCTCCAACCACCAACCCCCCCATTTTCCACCACTCTTCCAACCTTCATGAAGCACAGCTGCCCAAGCCATCCATGCCAGGTTATGAACCTGAGCTCGATGGACTTGCTCGAATGGTCGGAAACGGCGTTTGGTCCCCAGATTCCTGGGACATGCCTTTATGATTCAAGCGACAGTTATGCACTTAAGAACGCGTGGATATACAATTAAACATAATGATATATATAAATTTCATTGCGCGCATGTGCTTGTTGTACATAAGATCGAGGATGCCTCTATTGAAGATCACAACACTCCGCAGCAGTTTTGCTTGTCACTGGTATAGGCCATGCATGTGAGGTGGCCCATCGATGGGTCTGAAAAGGAAAAGTAGCAGCTTTGTAGTCGAAGAAGAACTCCGAGATTTGCTGACATACGAATGCTCCATCACTGGAAAAACTCGTTGCCCACCCTTCAACAAAAACCGTGCTCCTGAAAAGATGCTCAACTGCAAGAACACTTGTGCCAATATTTCACCAGTATATGCATATATATATATATATGTTGCGGTTTTTGTTTGTGAGTGCACGCACGCATGTTTTGTTGCGCTTAGGAAGGTATTGGTAGCCGAGAGCATCAACAGCGAAGGTTCACGTTGTTCCGTGACAGAGGGTGGAAAGGAGAAGGACCAGCGAACTGTGTCCAGGCCTGTTTGATTGTTTTACAGTTCCCCCTCAAATCCAAAGCAAACGTTTCCACATACAAAACGCTTGCCTCTTCCTTGGATGAACGACCTTAAGCAAAGCCCAGGTGACCTTGGATTATCCTGTTTGTGGCCAACATCGTATTGATAGAAGCCCTGTGACATCTGCCACACCTGGTGGTATTCCACAAGGCTTGCTAGAGCAAGAGAACATGTTCATCCAAAATGGTATCTGTGTCTCTTACTTAGCGTTCCGCCTGAGAGAAAAGGCAACAGCAGGCACCATCCTGCAAAGGTGCTTATCCCAGGTAGAATCGTTTCGCAACAGAATGAACCGCCAATTGTGTGTGTTCAAGATCGGCCTCACGGCTGCCCCTGTCACCCGCTTTCAGTATTACAAAGAAGCAAATTATTCATGCATGAGTTTGCTTCATGTGACAGACAATTTGGGGATTGCTCAAATGCTTGAGGCCAGCCTGATTGCATTTAACATTTCGGAACGGGGGTGTCGCAATCAGCGATATGGGGGTGAAGGTCCTCCCCACACTGTGAAAGAACCACTTCACTTTGTATATATTGTTGGTGCCCGTGCTGACCAAAAGAAACCAATTGGCTGATTATATATGATGCCTCACATAATTCAACATGCAATTTGCAAGTGCACATGCATCAGCAAAGTGCCAAAAGATGAACCGCTTTCTTGTGCATGTTGCTTTGCATTCCGGAGCTGTGTTATATAAAAAGATACTGTCAACAATGTGCAGTGTGCATGCGTGCATGTGTACTATATCAATTGCATGCATGTCTGTGTATGTATGAGGCATGGAAAATCATGGAAAGGTCTTCTGACTGTAAGAATGCATGCAATCATCATTATATGTTGTACTGCTGAGGTCACCTGCCGTGACGCTATACGGCAGGCACGAGTGACGAGGAATGCTAGCACAGGCATGCAAGCTTTAGCAAAGGTCAACCTGAAGAAGAGTGAGAATGGTGCTCACAGGGTCTTCCGTGAATTCCGACAGGCTTTGAACATTGCCATTAGTAGAACTGACCTCCCGACTCAAGCAAACTATCCTTACATCAAATTTGGTTCTTGGCTGCGATACTTGGTGGAGTTCGATTGCTTGGACCAACTTACAGGGGTGCAAGATCTTCAGGAGTTGGAGCCAATTTTACACATGTTTTGGCAAAGGTATCGAAGCGTTCATCCGGAACACGTTATCTTTGAGCGTGAGGCACGTGGCTTGATAGACTTGAAGAAGACGTTTCCATGTCTCCTTCACGGGGACGAAGGAAGATCCTTGAAGAAAAAGCAAGTTATGGTAGTATCACTGCACGGGTGCCTGGGAAGTGGATCTCGGCCTTCGAATGAGCACAGGCCACATGATGATGATGACAACTTGGAAGATAAGGCGCTACAGCTGAATATGCTCGGCTCGACAATCAAGTCTCATTTTCCAAGCTTCATCATGCCAGTGAGTCTTTACAAGGACAACGATGGCGCATTCTACCACATGCTTGAATTGGTGGCTGGGGAGCTGAAAGATCTGTTTGAAGACGGGTTGCAGCTCGGAGGCCGCAAGTTCTTCATGTGCTGCTTGGGTGTCAAGGGGGATGCTCCGTTCTTGGCAAAGGCAGGCCGCTTCAACCGCTCGTTCACTCGGAGACCCACAAGGCCTAGCTCCAAGAAACCTGCAACAGGTCTTTGCCACCAGTGCATGGCTGGCAATGAGGAGTTGGGGATTCCGTTCGAGGATTTTGGGAGAGAGAGGCCGCAGTGGCTCTCGACGGTGGGATCCGTTCCTGCATATTCGAGAGCTGCTCCTTCCCCTCTCTTGAAGATTCCATTCGACGGTACTGACATGTCGGTCTTCTTTCGATGGGATGTGTTCCACAACTGGCACTTAGGGCTTGGAAAGACCTTCATCACGTCGGCTGTATGTTGTGTCTTGGAACTCCTCAACCCGTTGAGTCTTGATGCTGCATTCAAAGTGCTGACAGAAGATTTTGGGTCCTATTGCCAAATGAACAAGCAATCACCGTATCACAAGAAGCTTACATCGCAGTTCTTTGGGGTTGAAGCTTCTTTCCAAGATTGGCCGGATGCTGGATGGAGTAAGGGCGACTTCACTCGGCTCATCTGCCAGTGGTTTGAAGACTACTGCTCCAGGAAAGTTGTTGGGCACACTGAGGACCCATTGTACTTGATGTGTGTTGCCATGGACCCGTTTAAAAGATTTTTCTATTTTTACGAGGGACTGATAGTACATGCGTGCATGTGCAATTTGCTATAATTTCTATAGCTAGGTGAAAAAGTAGGTGAGTACTTGCATATGTTTCTTAATTTGATATGGGATCTCGATCGAGTGTGTGAACTTCAGGCTGAAGCGACAAGCGATGCGAACTCTTGGCTCACTGCCTTGTACCATGAAGGCTTGTTTATTCGGGCTCCAGTGGCTCGTGGCATTGCCCTTCGAGGCCTGAAGTTCCTGCATGGATACGCCAAGCTTGCAAAGATGGCCTTTGATCGTGGTCAAAAACGCTTCGCTTTGATTCCTAAAGGACATTACCTCCACCATCAGGTCTTGGACCTGTTGCATCAAAGCGAGAGATCTCGATGGTGCCCAAATTTATTGATGTACGGTTGCCAGCTGCAAGAGGACTATGTGGGGCGGCCCTCCCGGATTAGCCGGAGGGTCAGCCCCAAGACAGTCCCTCTCAGAGTTTTGCAACGAAGTTTTTTAGCGATAAGGGCGGCGTTGGGAGATGATGAAAACATGTCACATCCTTTACCAACGTCGAAAGGATCTGCAAGCTCCAGGTGATCATCGATGTGCTAACATAGATCCACAGTATGACAAATGACACCCCCACCATGCACACATGCAGAACACATGCATGTTCTTAAGATTTCTTAAGTATGTGCGACATCATGAGACATCTAGATGTGCAATGTGCATGCAGTTGGCTACACGCAGATCCAGGTCAATTAAGGTCCTGGCCAGTTGACAAATGAGCAGTGATGCAAGAGCTGTCGAGAAATGGCTGCGGTGGGACACTGGGAGGGGTTCAAGTCAAGGTTCTGAAGAACACACCAGAACACACATGGATGTCAAAACTGGAAACCGGGTTTTCCTTTCGACAACCTTAAAAAAATAGGTCGCCACAAAAAACCTTTCTTTTTCATGGTCGCGAGGGCCGATGGTATATGGATATAGTTAAAGCAGAAAACAACTCATGAAGAAGAAGGTTTGAGCTACCTTTCAGACTAGGAGAATCCGACGGAGTGCCCGTCGGATTTGAACAGGGCAGCTGAACAGGGGTTGAAAGTTGGTCGCGTGGTCTTTGCTCTACGTTTGTTCGAAAATCGGCAGACTTATTGAGGGAAAATGCTGTTGAGTCCTAACAGCCCTATCATGGCTCGAATGCTTACTTGCCTTCGACTTCAGCATCCCTGCCTGGATGCCTGAGAGTGATGTTTTGTCGCTCCCAAAACCACGGTGGAAGCTCCTTGCCAGGCGCCGAACGAGAAGACGCTTCCAACCAAACCGCCTTCACTGCTAAAGGCAGAATGCAAAAGGAGATCTGGTAGACTTAACCCTAACAATCCTTATACATCATCTCTTGAAATCTTCAAGTCTTCAAGGATCCTTTGATCTTCCAAGGCCAACCCCGTGTCACCGGTGCCAAAATGCTCCTGCAAAGGCACGGCATCCAGCTCGATGGCCGCGGCCCACACCAGCCGTTGCTGCGGAGTGAGCCAAGCCCAGCTGAGCGCCTCCCGCGCCAGGCAGCGCAAGCGCTCCATGAAGGCCGCGTCTCGCTCCTCTGAGCCTTGCGTAGAGGAATGGGGATCTATCTTCTTGAAAGGTCCATGTAACTTGAGACAAACGAGCAAAATGATGTTCAAACTGTACTTTGGATATACTTAGTCCTGGGTTATGAAGTGCGGTGCGACACAAAACAACGAGGATGCTCCGTGCTGGGAAAGCATTGTCTTCAAGACGAGGTGCTGTTGGGTTTGAATCGAGTAGGGCAATTAATTGACAGGAGCGCGAGCAGAGTGTCTAACCTCCCATTTGGAGCCTACTTCACCAAATGCTTGCGAGGCTCTCACTTCAACAGTCTTTGCTGCCAAAGCGTGTGGCACCCGCCAACTGCCCGTCCTCTGACGGCTCAACTTGTAACTCGAGATCGAACCGACAATCGAAACACTATTCCCTATGACATTAGGATAAGACACAAACCAGTTGGCAAGTTGGAAGTTCTTGTTTGCAAACGGCCAGCTCTAATTCTAATAGTGTCCAGTTTTCGAAGCTTCAGTCCTTCTCACCCTCTGTGGCGGATGAGGACCCATCCGATCCATCCTCCAACCCGCGAAGCCGACCTCCATCCTCTCAGCCATCAGCCGCATCGCGCCCAAGACGCCGACCAGGCCGAGGAGAAGCCGGCTGCCACGGCGTCCCCGCCTTCGCTGTGCCATCAGGGCTCATCAACGAGGTGCTTCTCAATCCGCCCCCACAGGAGTTGTGAGAACTCCCGAAGGCTCGGCGGCAGCACTCTGCGCTTGGGCCAGTGGCTACAAAAGATGGAACAGTTGGCCTACACCGACCTACGACACTCACGAATGCACTGTAGATAAATTGGATCCCATGCTGAAGAATTTGAGCAACAAAACTTCCTGTCACACAAATCAATGATCGCTCAAGTTGCAGAAAGCAGGCTCGCTCTCTGCGTGAAAATGGTGTCCTGTTTGTCCATCTCTTATCAGGTCAGCGTGCTGTGTTTCTCTCTCTCTCTCTCTCTCCCTCCCTCCCTCCCCCCTTCTCTCTCCCAAATGGCTCCCTCTAAGGTAGCGGCTGGACCAGCTCAGTGGCTGGCCACGGTCGAAGCAGTTCCGCCGTGGAGGATGGCCTGAGTGGAGCAGCGCCAGCTGGGCTTCCCTTGAAAGGAGCACCGGTTCCGCCACAAAAAAGTCATGGGATGCGTCCGTAATGGTCTGTATATGTTTTACGGGATGGCATTTCGGTCCAGCAAGACAGTCCACCCTTCTCATATCCAAGTGCCACCATAAGCCCACGCAAAACCACCAGCTGTATTGTTTTAGATTGTCTCCGACTCCACACGAATTCCATTTCGATGGTCTCCCTTCTGCGGGGAAGCCTATGGTATCATATCTCTCCGGCCCTGGTCTCGTGGGTGGCTACTGTAAATGGAAGAAACCCGCCTGCGTGCAGGATGTTTAGGTTAGGGTGTCCGGTTCTGGGCTTGCCGCCGGGGCTTCGGATGCAGTATCACTCACCCTTGGAAACTTATGACATCAAAGCCTTGGCTGAGATGTTCGAGCATTCTTCAAACAAGGGGACCACAAACACACCATGGCACAGAGAGATTCACACCACAACGTGGCAAACAACAGCCAGGGCCCCTCAGAATGGCAACAACTCTTTTTACGCATTACTTGGCTTTTGTACCCTTCGCCTTCTGTTCCGACCTCCTGGCAGCTTCTGCGACGAGTGGATGAGAGCCACGAAGTCGCTTTGCCAACTCAGGCGGCAGAGTGTCGAGTCGTCGGAGCTGCATCCAGAGCCACTTGTACTCCGTTCTCTCAGTCTTCATTTTCGGGAGCCGCCTGTGCTTCTCCACGATGTGGAGGACTTTCTCCAACTGCCTTTCCCACTTTACCCTGTTGATTTTGAAAGGGCTGTTGTCCCGTTTCTGGAGGAGCTCTTTCACTAAAGGATGCACTTCCTCCAGCATCTTCCTCCTCTTAGGTATGACATGAGCTCCACTCGTTCGAACATTCTGCAACCACTTCGCCAGCTGGTAGCTCGAAGACTTGCGCTTTGTTTGCGTCTTGGTTGGAAGTTTGCCATTCATCTCTATGTACTCCTTCAGCTCTCGGCACTTCCGCTGGAAGCGGCCAACAAGGCCACCGGCCATCCACCCTTCAGCACGCCTGCGGACAAGATCGGATCTTGCATTCAGAAGTCTTTGAAGTCGGTGGGCTGGCATTTGCTGCGAGGTGACGCGCGAGCCCTGTGTGCGCAACCAATTGGACAGCACTATCTCATCATCATCACTAGCAGCTCGCCGCCGTCGAGGAAGCCTTCCGTTCTCCTCGACAAATGCTTCCAATTCTCTGAAGCGAGTCTCCCATCCGTCCCTTTGAGACAAAACCGCGTCAAGCCGGCCATACACCTCTTTGATGAATCCGTCCACACCAAGTTCTCCTTCCAGGCCCAAGCTGCAATCGACAATTTGGATCCTATGTCCGGCATCAGCCCCAATCCACCTGTGATCTGCTTGCACCAAGGCTCCCCAAAAGCTCTCCAGCTGATTCGCATACTTCTTGCCACAAGCCTGAACCCCATCACTGCTCCCAAACGTCAACCGTGGTTCCTGCTTTCTTCCCAACGCTGGTCGTGTCATCCGATGCGGCTGTGCTTCAGCGTCCAGGCTAGGAAGAGTCTGAGTATCCTGTTTGGTGTTGCCTGTGGGTGAGGGGGACGGATTTGCAAAGCCATCACTGCGACGAGCTTCTTCATCTGGACTGCCCGTCTCTGTTCTAGCTAAGTTGGGCTGCTCCTTGACCTCCGGCCTAGTGGTTTTGGTACGACCGTTGCGCCGGATGCCATCAAGACGGTCTGCTTCAAGGTATCGGCTGCGGCAGCCCCCCCGGCCACGCAGCCTCAGTCTCAGGGCCCAAAACTGTGTCAGCATTCTGGCTGGTGCTAACACCTCTTCGGCTCATTATGTTGCTGCTGCCTGTGCCTGCTTGTGATAAACTATCTGGAAGCTGAGCTTGACCACTTGGAGCACACTTCACTGTAGCAGGTTTGCCCCTGCTATTCAGCCGCAGGCTGTCCACA